TTGAACGTCAACGAAGAACTGTTGGAGCACGTAGCCTCACAGGGCATCGTACTCAAAGTGGACGGGATCCGTGATCATCGTTGGAACGACCGGATCAAAGACTACGAGCTGCTGATGCATTGGCATGGTTTGGGGGCTATTGAAGATTCGTGGGAACCTATGAAGTCTGTGCGCAAGGATGTGAGGCTCATGGTGGAGAATTATGCAAAGCAGGCCAGTGATAACGATTTCACGGCAGCAGTAGTATCGGTGTAGCAGAAGCGCACAAGAGACCACGTGGTGAACATGGGCAAAAAGGACATCGATAGGCTGATGGTCTAAGGCCACGAAAATGTTGAAACCCGATTGCGATGGACTGCATTTGACGAGATTAGCCTCGGGGGGAACTGTAGTGGGAGATGGTCTAGATGTAGAGCCAAATCTCGCTCACAGGAGTGTACTGGAGATCGGACTCCAGGTACACTAGCTGGCGGTTAGGAATTCAACAAGATAGTTCAGGGTTGAATTAGAAACGGGTTCTGGTTGAAGGCAGACCAGGAGTTAGTTTAGTGGAAAGGAAGTGCTCCAGCCAAGGTGTTGTTCACTTTTCCATTTGCTCAACGGAGCTCATTGGAATACAATCGGCGTACTAGTTTTAGCAAGTGCCAGCTTCCCCATTTGAAGTGTGTTTAGTATCGAAACCCACTACAATCAACCCGCCAGCAGCAGCTCCAAGACCGCCAGCAAACGAGCCTGAGGATGTCGCTGCGACGGCCACAGCTTCGTTCACCTGCGGTAATCCCCCGGATACTGAGCTAGAGCGTCCTACAATCGTGTTCCCCGAACTTATCGGAGCTGTTGAGGTGGCTTTACTGACATTTTGCTGCGCTAGGAAATGCTGCAAGTCGCCACCTTCCATGAATTCCTGCACCATGACCACGTGCTCCAATGTGTTCCACGCGATACCATTCAGAGTCACAATGTGAGGGTGTTTCAACTGTGCCATGAGGTAGATTTCGGCCAGAAACATCTCCATTTCATGCAACAAGCGACGCTTTTCCGGCACCAGTTGCTTGAGTGCGACCTGGCTGTTACTGTGCAGTGCAAGCCAAATTTCACCCGTTGTGCCCCGAGACAGCGGACGAAGCAGTTGCAGTTCGCCCATTGGAACACGTAGACGACGGAGCTTGCGGTGAGACTCAAACAGACGGAAGCTTCGGATGGCCATCTCATTCTTTCGAGCTGTAGCATCGTCGGGTAAACCTCCTTTATTTTCCACTGGTACGGGCGTTTCTGTGTCATTTTGCAGCAGATTCAGTCGTGCGTTGGAGGCTAACGGGTCGAAAGCAGACGCTGACAAGCCGATAGTCGCGTCAAAATGCTCGAACGCCGCTGCATTCGAAACTCCTTCGTCATAACTCAGCGACGTTTGTGATACATTGAGAGCGGAGTCTTGAGAGCTGTACGCGCTGTCATCACTGTCTAGACTGGACGATGATGAATAGGACGAAGATCGGTTTTGTCGACTAGTTCCTGATGTGTGAGAGCTTCGAGAACGGCTCTTGCCTTTCCGCTTAGACACCAGGAAGGCCTCCACTGCTCCGTTATCAAACAAATGGCGATTCTCACGCATAAACAGATCGGTAATCACTATCACAGGTCACTATCTCCTTTGGTAGCAGCAAAAAAAAATGATTAGGTCACGTGATCAAACGATGTTTGATCACGTGAAGGGCAACCCGCAATAATATAATATTCACAACAATCAAATGCAAATGTGGTTGTATTCAGTATGACTAGCAGT